GTGCCTGCTTCAGAAAACAATTCAGTCCATAATCTCATAATGTTGAATTCCACCTGGCAGCTTTATTTGAACTTAATTTCTTTTTCTTCTAATGCTGTTACCCCAAGAGTTATGAGACAGGCATCAGCTGACAGCACCAGGGAAAGGAGAGGTATTGGCAATGGCATAATAGCAAAAGGGGAGGAAAAAGAATAGCTATTGTAGCATTTATCAGTATTCTATTAATAGTGTGCTCTGACATAACTGTGGAATAAAACAGAGGTTTATACTGCAATTTCTTGCAAAGGTTGAAGCTATTCATCTGCATGGTTACAAGACAGAAGTCTAAAGCTTTCATATATTATAGCTGTTTCATTGTCCTGTTGTAATCAGAAGAAACACCTTAAAAAACCCATTGCCTTAGGTGTAAATATTCCACCCCATTCCCGTTGGAAGGAACACAGATGCGGGCAGCCAACCTTCCTGGAGTGCTTTTTAAAATAGTGTCTTTACATATTAAAAAAAAAACCAAACTAAAGCCAGATATTCCAAGCAGGTAAGAGGTGCAAGAGGCTTTCGGTTTAGTGCTGGGTTGACCACCCATTGAAATGTACAGAAAGCCTCTAGTTGTTTTCCATGTTTTTTTTTTTATTTTTCAGTGAAGGAGCATGTTTTCACTGTGTGTAACCAGGCAGAGATATGCTCCACAAGAGCTTATGTTCTTTTTTACTGTAGATGAGACTTGAGCCACAGGGTGGGAAAGGTGCCCAGAGACAGCTGCCAAGTGTATGAATTCGGAAACCCACCGGACATACTCTGGGAATGTACAGAATAACCAGAGAGACCTTTGTAACTCTGATTGCAGGCAGCAGCTGTGCTCCTACCTGTGTTCTATTTCAGTGCCCTCACTGAACATACACTTTTTAGGCTGAAATAGAAACAGACTTTTAGGGGAGGACAGTTCAGATCCTGGGCCAGTTTCAGACCATGAAACTGTGCTATCTTAAGGCACCTGCATTAGGAGCCTGGGAGCACTCTCGTGTAGAGACCATCTGACTTGGCATCTGCAGGTGTCTCCTTCTTTCTCCTTGGTACTGCAGGGTTTCTAGGGCAGCTGCTTTCCTAATTAGGGACCTCACTTAAGTGTGGTCTGTTAGGGGAATGACATTGGGCTTTGTTGCAGAGAGAGTTATACAGGCAAACTTGCGAACCCCAAGTCACGAAGAATAAAACAAACAAACAGAAATATCTCCCAAACAAGCAAAGAAACCACAGTAAAAAACCAAAACCACAAAAAATGGGTTGGGCACTTGTTGGCTTGGCATTAGCAGACCTGTGGCCTATTACTACTGTTCTGTTGGAGGCATTACTCTTACAAACTGAAACAAAATCAACATTTTCTTTCAAGTCGATAGGCCTCAGATTTTGTCCAAGGTCTTATTAAAAAGAGCTAAGTGCCTCCTTTGTTACAATGTGATTGTTAAGCAAGGAGAAAGAATTACAGTGAATGATACAGGTTGTCAAAGATGGCATCTCAAAAGGTCCAAAATACTCCTCAGGATGGGTTGTGTTACCCAACAGTTTCCTCAAGAAAAGGAGGGAATTAATTAAAAAAATAAATGCTTTGCATGTAGTCAAATATTTAATTTTTGCATTAGTGAAGTCAGTCAGTCTGGTTTGTTTCCAGTTTTAAGATGTGTCAAGAGGATTAAAAATTAACCCCCCACCCACCATTTTGAATTGCAAAAAGGAGCTATTATTTTAAATCCCAGTTGAGAAAATGAGCTAGCATATTTTACTTATTTAGAAAAGCTGTGTTTTACTACAAATGTTTAAAGTAATGAATTTGTTCTTTTGAGAAATCCTGTATTCTGAAATTAAAACTGCCATTTAATTTTCAATTGGAACATTTTATCGCTGCAGTTGTAGAACAGAGGTAGTTAACTGGGATCCATGTTAAAACCTATTTAGTCAAAATATTAGAAGACTGAAGTGGGTTCAGATTGCATTAGAGAGCACTTGCGTTGTTCAAGATTATTGGCAGAGAAAAGAAGAATAAAAAATAAGTGATATTCTGTCAGTATTCTCAGTTGTAAGATTTAGGTATTATTATTCTATGTACTTCAAATCATTTGTTCTTCTATAGTCAGTTGTGTGTGTTTAGCTTTATTCAAACTGAGTAAGAACATTTAAAGAAAGTACTGCTTTCAGGTGGAATGGTTTTCTGTGCTTTAAAGTTATGGGGGATAATTGGAGTGTATTTTTAAGGACCAGCAGTATTTGGTAACTCTGTAATAATTGCATTAATGTCTCCTAGTTTTTACTCTTCTCACTAGCCAGCCCTTGAAAAGAAATATTTTGTGTGCACGTTTCTGTTGTCTGCCTTGTGTCACAAAATGCATGTAAAAAGCTACCAAGTCTGACACCTACTTTGTCTCCAGTGTTTTCCTTGTGTAAATGACTTCCCAGCTGCATGGAAATAGAAAAAATGTCTCCTGTTTCAAACAAAAGTTACAGCTTTCTGGAGGTTATTCTTGAAGTCAATGGAAGGGAACCTAACTGGACTTGTTTTATGTGAGATGAACTGGCGTGAGAAAGTCTGAGAGATGAACTTAGCTCTCCTTTTTTTGGTGAAAGTTTCTGGCAAGCAGAATGCATAGATGAAGTTAAATTACCTCTCCACCCCCTGATTCATGTATCAGATATTTTGCCATGCTCTTGTTTTCATCCAGTTTTATGAACAACATTGAGGTTTCCACTGTGTCAAAGTTCTAAGAGCAAGCTTTTGTCTCTTTGATAGCTGAAGTAAAAGGAGGCACTGTTCTAATTATGTGTGAAAAATTTAAAATTTAACATTAAAAAGGCAAAATAGAAACCCAGTTACAAGACAGTAAGCTTTGTTGAATACACTTTTGTATTGCAATATTTTAGAAAAATCACTCACTAAAGATTTTTTTAACAGAGAAGCATAAGAAGATAATTCCCTTTTTTGACACGCTTTACCTTTGCAAAGTTACTGGGCTGTTGACAGGTACAACAAGACATGTGCTATGCTTACATGCTATTAGTGCAGCAGGCTTTGAAAAATGTCTAATGCATTGGCATATCTGACAATTTAGGGTATTAGTTAACAGTGAGACTGTAAATAGAGTGAATTTTAGCTACAACTGCTGACTTGGGCATTCAGTCAACATTTGCAGTACAGGGCTGAACAACAAATAATGTCATTTTATACTATGGAGATGGAAGTTGGCGTTATACAGTGTGTATGGTTCAGCCTTAGAGCAATGGTAATTGCAATGTATTGAAGTTTTGCATTGTAATAAAAATAGAGACCATTAGTGGATACCATTTATGTCATTAGTATTTAGTGGCTGTGTGTTGCAGCTTTTTTAGTGCTCATAAAACTGTCTCTGCTTGCAGATATGTGACAGCACTGATATAAATTTAAATGTTTAGAAATCCATAAGACATAAAATATAGATAGTAAATAGGGGCATAACATTATAGACAGAACCTTAATAATTTGGCACGCAAATGTTTATATATTTGCATGTCTAGTGCAGAAATTAGCATAATGATGTTCATGTTTATACTACAGAAGAACTTGATTAAACAAAGAATAAAAAATGAGTTAAAACTGAGGCACATCATGCTAAAGCAGCAAAGAATATTTTCAGGTCCCCAAAAGAGAATTTGTGATGTTGGAAGGTACATCCTTTACATACATCTGGTGGGATATTGATTTTTCTCTTTATAGACTTTTTACTAGTTACAGCACCTGTTCCACTAACTAGCATTGCAGTTGTTCTTAGGAAGTGATTATGTTAATTAACTAATAAAAAAGAAAATAAGGTTGTTAGGGAACCTTAAGATAGAGATTGGCTGGCACTAATTTAACAGTAATGGAGCCAGCATAGGGAAGGTCATATGATATCTAGCCCAAAACAGCAATATCTTGTCAGAAATTGGAGGCTGCTGTGAGGGCAGTGAAGGAGCTGACTGGGAAAAGGCTTCTTTGGAGCATGGGGAGGGAAGAAGTCCAGGAATATAGCGCAGGAGGATTTCCTGAAATTCCCAGCATTATACTTGAGACAAGTGTGCAAGGCACAGTTTGGGCTTCCAAGTGATTTTTATTCAAGAAATTTGGAAGCCTGCTTGATTTCCATGGAGAAGATCTCTGGGAAAGCTGTCTTCCTGTGATTTAAGGAATGTCACTTGGATTCTGCTGGCAGCTACTCTTAACTTCTTCAAGAGGTTCCTTTAAGATTTTCCTGTAAGAGACTCCCCTTTGTGCTTTACTGACCCTGGTTTCTCTGTCAGTGACGGATTTGAAGCAAGAGACTCTGAGACTTGTGTTCTGCACACTCCATCCCCATTGTCTTCAGCTCTGACCTTTACATCCTGGAAACACCCTGGAGGTTTGTCACAGAGCTCTCAGGGGATTTGGAAATCAAATTATACAGCACTAAGGGAGAACACAGAAAACTATAAAAACATTTCAGTCATTAAGAGTGAAGTGACAGGAAGCAGTGTTAGAGAATGAATCTTTCCAATTAATTTTCCTTTCAGGGCCCTTTTCCCAACATTTTTAATTCTAAGTGTGTATGAAATCTTTGGCAACACTACTTGTGTGTTTCAAAAGAAGAGGAAACCTTTGATAAATCTTCTGAATCTCTGGACCCAACAATGATAGCACTCTGATTATTTTGGATCCTTTTAGCTGGGAAAGGTGATAGTGGGAATGTACATTTGCAGCAAGCTTGTGGCTTACATTAATAGTTGTTAAGGTTATAAAATGAGATGCTTTTCAGAAGCTCAAATAATAAGCAGAAGCAAAACAAGCTTTCTGTACAGTGAATATAAATTATTCTTTCTGTCACTCCCAGTATTTCTTACAATCTAATTCTGGAAAGTGTTAAACTGGAAATCATATTGCTCCTTTTAAAAACATATTTTTGTCTGTTTATCCGTTCAAAACAGACCAAAATGTAAATCTGTAAAATGCTTTCCATCTTCAAAGCAGCTATTTATATGCATCTAAATTCTGAAATCTTTTTGAAACTTTCGGTTTTATTTCTGATTGTGGGATTCAGTGTCACTTCTTAGCACATTGAGTACTGATGGCTTTGAACATACAGTATGGCACAAAGCGATAACTTGTGCACACTACCCTGCTGAGAGACAATTCTAAAGGAAAAGTGATTTTTATGCTGGGGTTTTGTCTGATTTTAGAATTAGGGGAAATATTAAAGAGCATAACAAAATATTTTAATTCCTCTATACACCACTAAATTACTTGTTACCTTATTTATCCAAGTAGCAGCTACCTGAGAGCAGAGGCTGCTTTCTGAAGTCATTCTCTACATAGAATTGTACTAAAACCACTAAATCATGAAGTGAACAGACAAGTTTTGCAGTGAAGAGTGTTATTTACTGGGTCTGTGCACACTTACCAAAAGCATATGTAAAGGGAGAAGAATATTAGAGTGATATAAAAGAAATGGGCTCCCTAAAATCTACTCTGTCATAAGGTAGAAGGAAGAAGACTTTGGGTTTCTGGCAAAACCTGGGTGAACCTGAAATCATGCCATACTTCGAGGTATCTCTACTGGAATAATTGTAGTAACCGTAGTTACCATAAAACCTGATACTAAATCTAAGTGTAGCATATTTCCTTAAGCAGGACAAGCAGATGTAATGTTTTGAATTGGACGTGAATGTTGAATTGGTGGTACTTGAAAGTACCTATAGGACTATCTAAAACATATTTTCTTGATAATGTGTTTTCCTGTATTTTCTAACCTCTATTTTTTAAGTTCATTTTTTTTTCTGATTTCTAGATGACTCTTGGTATCCAGCTGCTCTCTTGTACTTCCTTGTATCTTGCTTGTAGACAGTGTATCATCCCAAATTCTTACAGGGCATTCAGCTGTACTAGATTACCCAAATTACTACAGGTCACAGCTGAAATGCATTAGTGGAATTAAATAGGAAAGCTTGCCCAGTATAGGCTCTGCTGTTCTTACTGTCTTTTATTGCTTTCATAAGAAGAGTGGGAGATTATTGAAAGACATATTTATAAAAGATACAGTGCAGTGCAGCTACACTGCAGGTTTATGCCAAATTAGGTCTTGAACCTGAATGAATTCAGGCATCTGCTGCAGTTCAGATTACAGTTCACTGTGTGACCTCACACATGTAGGTTGGCCTCCTCCTGGTTTGTTTAACCCATCCACAAAATTGAGAAAAACAGGTACCTCCATAAAAAAACAGGTGTGCATCTGGGCACAACTGTCCTGGGTAAATAGATTACAAAGAAGGCAGAGGCTCAAGTGAGGGGATAATAAAGAGGAAATACAAGTCTCTTTGTCTCCTACACACCTTTATCATTAACTTAGTGGTGCACTGTGTTTACATTTATTGGGCGTATTTAGTCTCACTGGCCTTCCAGCAGAACAGATCTGGGGTCATTGTCTTTTCCTGCAATTCAGTGCATGAGAAGCACTATGTGGTTAGTCTTATTGGAGGGAACACAGGCACAGGCTTTAGTGACTTGTGAATGAATCAATAAAGCATGTTCCTGTAGGTTTCTAAATTGTCTCTTTCATTAAGAATGGAATTGGGCAGCAGAAGATCGATTTTTCGTGGCAAATCAGAGGGGTTTTATCAGACCTTCATTTAGGTCGTGGATTTTTGAAGTAAAAAAACTTTATCAAAAATACTATACAGGATTTAAACTGCTACAAGGATCATAAATAGTTTGAATGTCCTTTTTCAGAACACTTTCTTGAACTCAGAATTACGTGAGACCTGGTCTTTAGCAATCCCTACAGATAATTAAATGAGTGGAAAGCTGCTAAGCTCCCATAGCTGAGGATCGTGGCTTATGGAGCAGCAGATGTGGTGTTGGTTAAAAGATATTTGGAAAGGGAAGCATTCACACAGAAATGTTACTGCTGCTAAGGTTATACATGTCTTTGTATATCACAATTGCTTACAGCAGCTCTTGATGAGTGAGTGTGACATGAACTCTGCAGGAAATGCAGTCATCCTTTAGAATCATCTAAAATAATGATTATTGTACAGGTATGGAACAGGCAGAGAGGTGTTTCAAATCTACTGATTTTTGCATCCTCACCACGTGGCTGTGAAGTTCTGAAGAAACTTACCTTTACAGGTGTGGTTCATCTGAATATTCTTTTCCTGCATGGCACATACAGGCTTACTTGAGTGTGGTAGTACACCTTGGCAGTATTCTTTTAGGACAGTATAACTTGCTTGGGGATAATACAGTGTTCATCTTGGAATCTATGCTTTTAGTACACACATATGCCTTCCTAGCATCCTGAACCAGTGTTATTTCCATGGACAGACAAGGGCAGTGCTGCATATGCATTTCTTAATTTTTTAATAGGCTCATCAAGTAGAAATTTGTATTTCCAAATCCTGAGGGAGCTGGAGAAACATGGATGAGGCACAGTGCTGAGCCTAGGCAAAAATCAGCTGAATCTAAATCAAGAGCAGCATCAACAGTAATACTTAGAAGCACAGAGCTTTTTTAAGAATGGATAATTTGCCAGGCATTACTTTCCCCATAGACAGTGTTGTAAGAAGTTGTCTATCAATAGGTCGCTACATATTCCAAAACAAGTTGAAGCCAAATAAGTCATCATAAGATGGTCATCACCTCTTATATAGATTTAGCTTTAGCTTGCATGTACATACCTGCAGAAGATAACAGTGTTTTCTAGCAATTCTCTTGAGAGGCAGTTACATTAATTTTCTAGTAATTACTATGTAAGAATTACATGTAAAGGGTTTATGAATTATTTATTGTTTGGTGCAAACCTGAATCTTGATTCTGCCCTGTTGTTCCCTCCCTGGGGTACTTGCATTGAGATCTTTCTACAATCGACTGTAGAAGCTTGTTTATATCTGAAGGGTGCTTATAAGTGCTACACATAAAGAATTAAAATGTTACAGCTCTGCTTATGGTGCAGTGACAGATGCTGGTGTTACAGTGCCTTAGTGGGTGGTTTCTAGTTCAATTTTCTGTTACACAGCCGTAATTTGTAATACTGCTTTTGCATTGTTGTGTTGCAAATACATCAGTCAGGGACTTATTAAAGATGGGTGAACTCTGCAGGATCTAGAGGTCTGGGTAAGATAACCAAAATCTCTAGTAGTTTTTCAGAGCTTAATGAGAGGTGGAGTTTTCTATCAGTGCTTTCAGGTATAAATCTTTCCCTTTACAATGATGTATCAATTTTTGCAGGCTGCCTTATCATCCAGGAGTAGGAGACAGTGAGCTGAAGGTATGTGCTTTCTGTACAGAGTAGAGCATTCCTTAGTTGGGCTGAACATCAGCAGATGTTTCTGAGGAGTTTCCTAAGCTGGGTTTTAATACTGTCTTTGATGTCCAGAGGAGATCACAGCTTTAGCCATGTAGATTTCTCTGAAGCAATTACTAACCTAATAGCCATAATTAAGGGTCTGTCACACTAGAGAGAAGCAAGGAATAAGAGACTGATCGTTATTCAGCATCATGTTTACAGAAGAGGTTATAACTCTCACTGGAGACAAACTGATAGCTGTCACTCTGGATGCCTGTTTGTGTGCTCACTAAAGGTGAGTTGGTGTACATTATTTATCTTGATATCACAGGATCCATTGCAAAGAATACCCAGAAACAGAAGACTTTATTGTTTCTTACTCATTAAAAGAATCTCTTCAATTTGATCTCTTCAAGTCAGTGAGTAGTTTAAATGAGAGCAATGAAACTAGTCCATAGTGGAAGTTTTTTAAAAAGAGAGGTGAGTGGCATTTTTCTTTCCAAATTTGACTGTGGTTGCATGTCAGGAATTAGAAAATCTGGTAAGCGGGTTGCCCAAAAATTAGAACCACCCCTCAGAGGTGTGGGCAGGTGCTCTTTGTGTTAAACTAGTTATCATTTCCCTATGAGTGTGTCCCAAAATGGAATGTATTTGAGTCTGCTCAGGAAGAACATAGGACATATCCTCCATTCTGAACTTTGATGAATCCTTCATGGTAAAAAGACTTGCCAAGGATGTGACCATAAGCATGCAATTGCTTGTGTCTTTCTGAGTGGTAGAATTGCTCGTGCCTTTGATGAGTCCAGCACATGGAGGTTGTGGTGTTACCAGCACCCTCATGGGAACAAAATATGGGCTGCCAAAGCACTGTGTAGAGGGAACTACAAGTCAGTGGGTGGGAGTGACAGCCTGACAAGTTCAGCTGAGAAGAAGTCATGCTTTTAAGTGTGGGGTAATAAATGCTGAGACGATGTATTTTCCATTTACAGAATAAATTTGGAAGTATTTCAGGAAGATATGTTTTAATCAAATAGGTGTTATGGGGATCGGTATAGAAGTAACAGAGTAAAAATCTCTTGTAGGAGATCAGACCAGAGTGTCTGATGGCCCTTTTAGAGCTTAACAAATTTTAAATGTTAAACTGGAGCCTCTCTATGTTTGAATAGCACTTCTCAGTGGACTTGTAAACATCCCAAGTGGCATTGAGGTTTCAAATGGGATTGTAATTTTGAACCCATGTTGCATGCCTGAGGACAGTTGGCCTTATAATCCTCTCTTGTGTAATGCAGATAGCCAAAGAGTGGACCTGAGCAGTTAAAAAAATGACAAATGTGCTGTGGATGAAAAGGAAAAGAGAGTCAGTGAATATTCACAGAATCACAGAATATGCTGAGTTGGAAGGGACCCACAAGGATCACTGACTCCAACTCCTGGCCCCGCACAGGACCATCCCAAAGAGTCACAACCTGTGCCTGAGAGTATCATCCAAACACTCCTTGAGCTCTGTCAGCCTTGGTGCTGTGACTGCTTCCCTGGGGAGCCTGTTCAGTGCCCAGCCACCCTGAGGGTGGAAAACCTTTTTCTAACATCCGACCTAAACCACCTCTGACACAACTTCAGGCCATTCCCTTGGGCCCTGTCACTGGTCCCCACAGGGAAGAGATCAGTGCCTGCCCCTCTTCTTCCCCTCATGAGGAATTTATCACTAATTAGTGATAATCATTGCTGTGGAGCCATAGGGTGGGGTAGGAGTAGGGCCTTTACTGAAATTCCCCAGAGTGAAATAATGCCATTTCTGTCTGCATAGAAGTATTTGCCAAAGCTTGTCCTTTGGGTTGGTATTTTGTTAAAACAGAACACCAGACCAGCAATGTTGAACTATGCTATGTTAGTGTCCATAGGCAGACATTTAAGTCAGTTTAAAAAGAAAAAAGATTTATTTTGATTTTCTGTGTAGAAAAATACATCATTTCAGTTTAAGAGGTCATGTTAAAGTAAAATATTTACCCAAACTAAAATTCTTTTGCCATTTCAGTTTGTGGGAACATGGAGCCCCTAAGGCAATACAGTGTTTGAAGATGGCTTTCATACATGGGACTCTTGGTTACTTCCCAGCTCAGGTTCACAGGTTGGTATGGGTCACAATTATCACAAGAATTATTTGAAGCAATTAAATATTTTTTTTGCTTATTATCATATTCTAAATACTAAATGGTTCTGAGAAATAGTCTCAGAGAGATTTGATAGCTGACCCACAGACTGTGCACTGCCTTTTGCATACATACTTAAACTACTGGTATTTCTAGGAAGCTATATGTTATTAATTCATTATTATTTTATTGATGTTCAATTGATGTCTTATTAAATATAAATTAGATATTTGGGAATAATAATATAATGGGATGAGTCAGGTGAGATTCCCCCAGGATGGTTTATAATGAAGCCTCAAATTGTTAATAATCCTAAGCTCATAAATAAATTATTATGGGTGAAACAAATGCAAAAATACTGAAATAAGCTATGAAAATGTTAAGTGGGGGTGAAGAGACACATAATCTGCTGGGAGATCGGTGTGATAACATACATTTGGCACTGAGTCACATAAGTCAGGTTCACATCAATGTCCCCCACTCCTTCCGATCCTTTAGCATTGTAGGTGTGTTTCTGCCCCTCATTTCCCATTATTATGCTACACCATCCTGTTCCCAGACATTTTGCTTTGCCTGGGAACAGTGTTAATTTAATGCGCTCAGCTGACCTCGAAGGCACTGAAATGACACGGCAGCAGCAGCCCAGAGTGCTGCAGTATATCCTGCTGTTCGCAGAGCTGCTGGAGAGAACAGGGACTTTTCTGGACACTTTTCTGTGAACTCTTCTGGGAAAAGTCAGGGGGAGCTGTCTCTTTGACCACACCATGTCGGACACATCCTCTCACTTAGCTGTATCTTTCATCTTTTCCATGGAAGACAAATTTCCCTGTTGCTCCTCCGTTTTTCTTGAAGAGTTAGCAAGGAGACCACAGATCTCCCTTAGATAAGAAAAGAAAGGAAGGAGGACCTACCTTTATGTAAGGAAAGAAGGATGGAAAGAATGAAAGGATTCTGATAGTATATTTTCTGGTTTGTTTGGGGTTTTTTGGATCCCAGATTCTACAAAGACCTTAAGAGATCCGAAACCTTAATTTCTTCAGCAAAAACAGCACCGTTATCACAGCCTTGAAAGACAGAGCTAAATCCCAACAGAGTACTCAGTACCTGTGTTTTATACTCACTGTAGTGGGAATTGCAGAAACACAGCACTTTGTGAAATGCTGCTGTAATTTGAAGAGTTAAGTCACACAGCAGGTTAGTAAATGTAAAGAAGCTTAAAATTAATTTTGCCAAAAATTAATTTAGTGAATTTCTGCCAGTGGAAGTGAGGAACATGCAAAAGTCTGAAAATCTGGCCTTATTACATGCAAGTAGTGCTGACAGAGGCATTCACATAGGGATTTGGATGTATCCAATGTGGAATTTTGTTCCAAAGTCATTTTGGGTAGTTTGGTAGATGGTTTTCCTGTAACGTTAAAGCTGAGAGCACTCTTGTTACTTGTGTGGTGTTTTTGAAAAAAAAAAATTAAATTGTTTTAGAAAATGAACAAAGAGATGATTTAGTCACTGGTTTAGGCTTTTGCCTAAAATTGTATTCCAGGAACTTGATGATATTGAATGGCCAAAGGGTCGCAAACTAGAAATTTGGCTTAATATAAGGTACAGAAAAAAGACAAATATGCTGCTTTTCTGATGTGAGAGACCTTGGTTGCTAGGAGGAAAGTATTCAAGTGTTTGCCTACATTTTACTGGGGTTTTAACAGTGTGGAATAAATAGATAACACCATGTCTTTTAAATAATGTTTTCTTAAATAGTGAAACTATTACCTAATGAAGAAATTGCAGTAATCACATTTCCATAAAAGTGGGGAGTTACGGTATCTATGTAATTAAAATGCTGTACTTTTCCAAATATAAATCTGCTGATGAATACATTTTTCTGTATTTTTGTAATTGGAGATTTTTGTTAAATTAATTTAATTTAACAATTTAAATTAAATTAATTTAATTGTTGTTAAAACACAGAAAATTCTATTGCCTGTCCATAACAGAATAAAGACAGAGAAGTCACATGTGTGATTTACAGCATCTATAGCAAAATCATATTCTTTCCGGTAGTTATGAATGGTTATTCCTGTGCATCTGCTAGGAGGCCAACGGGTATGGAAAACAGATCCAGCTTGAATCATTCTTCACTTTTCCCCTGGTGTGCCAGGCCAGCAGGGTCTGTTGGAACTGTTGGCCAGTTCTTGTCCATGCACTTGCTGACACTTCTCTAGGGAACCACATTAAGCAATTCCTTGGGTCACCAGAGATGTCTGTGCCTCCTCCTTCATGTCCCAACACAGGCTGGGCTCAGAAGAAGGTCCTGCCCTGCTCTTGATGTTGTTTGCACTCTCCCCAGATTTCTTACGACTCGTGTCAGCAAGACAAACAGCCATTCCCATTTAGGAATTAGAGAAGTCTCAAGGCTAGTTTCATACTCGGGGCTCCTTTTTTTGCCATTTTCTCGTCCTGCAAGAAAGCAAGATATTAATTACACAGCACCTTCTTCTGCAGCTTTTATACAAAGGAGCTATAATTGAATTTATCTGTTTTTGTAAGAAATTAAAGACTAAAAAGCATTAAGTAGGCATTTAAGCTACACTGGTGTGTGTAAAGCTGGGCTCAGGGAACGTAGCAAACATTCTACACCCTACAGAGACATATACAAATTTTTGGTTCTGTATTTGCCTTATTGTCTCCCTTTAAAAGGCTCCTGTTACTGTTGCTGCACAGCTTTATTCAGAGTTACCTATGGTGAGGAGGAGTAGAGGATAACATGGATAGTAATTAGGAATCGAAAGAGGAAACAAAAGAAAAGGCCAATAATGCAAGACAATCATTAAGTGCCAAATATAATTTGTCAAAGGTGTTCCTTCTAAATTAGGTGGAGGCAGCATTTTTTCGGATCGATACTTCCTCAGTGACTCCCCTACAGTTCTGGTAGCTTTTGGCTAACAAACAGGAAGAGTTGTGGTATGCCCTATGTATAAACAATAAGGCCAATGAACTTAGTGGATTAGTAGACCTTGCCTGTGGTCTGACATCCCTGTAAAACTGAGATGGGCAGTGTGCAAGGGCTGAAGCTGGCACAAATCACGTACATGGCCTGATCAGCTCTGAAGCTGCCTCGTAGATCAGTCACAGCCAGAAGTGCAAAGCTCCACAGCAAACTGAGCTCAGTAGTAAATAGTATCAAGGAGTACGTGCCCTGATTCTTGGTGATGTTAGTGGGAAAACGTATTGAATTCATTTGGAGTTTGAGCTGCCTGTTAGAGGAAGTGCATTAAGTATTTAACCCAGATGTTGTCCATCTTTAACCACACATCCTACCCAGCCTGACGCATTTAATTACCAATATAAGGTGTTATTGCTGTGACTTAATACTATATTATATTCTTACTCAATACTACTGTGGTGCAGCTGTAAGTCAAATACTGTGCTTTGTTTCAAATAAAAAGGTAAGAATAGAGAAGACAGGTGTCATACAACAGAGAGATAGGAATGGCGTTTCGATTAAATTTTCAGAGGGGCATTGATATTCTTGGTGTTTCCTGTATCAAAACATCATAGCAGCCAATTGACAGAAGCCAGCAGCTCGTTGTTTCTTAACTGGTGTTTGTTAGACCTCACTGTGCAATAGGAGTCCCTGACAGCACGCTTCTTCATCTGTGGAGATGAAGCCCTTCTAGTCTAAGCAAACCATAAAAACTTGTCCTTAGTCCAAAGAAACAGTCTTTGCACTGGAACCCAGGCATCCTGGTTATGATTTAAGCACAACTTAAACTCAAGACCAGATCCAACGTGCACCCCTGGTCTCTCCTCGAAGGAAAGAGTCGTACATACACATGCATACCTACAAACCTGTGCATCTGGCAGCCTCACACCTTCCTGAAGACAGCTCTGCAGTACGAAGGTGCAACACAGCTGCATTTTCTGTCAGGAGGATATGCTAATTTTTGCTGTAACAACTGTATATAACCTGTCAATTATTCCCTCCAGTCTCTTGGGTTAACTTTATCTGTGGTTGTGTTTTGAAGTCCCAGATGATTATGTAATAGGTGGAAGATACCTAATAATATAACAGGCCTTTTCTATTTTTTCTGTGGCTGTATTAATGTAATTTCTTAGGTATCATTGTGTCTTTTTCAACGTCAATCCATTGTGAATCACGCAGACACAGCAGTGAAAGAACAGAACCTGCTGCAGCCTGTGAGCAGCAAGAAATTTCAGCTGGATGACTGCATAAGGGGTTTGCAAGACCGCCAGTAATTTTTTATATTCAGAGTTAAATAGAGCAATAAGATGGAATTTAAGCTTTAGTGCAATAGATTGCAGCTCTTCAGTCAATCAAATTATAGTTCAATCAGTTCATTTTAATCACTTCTCTGGAGAGAAGTAAACCCCTATGTAGAAGAATATGCAGCAATTTTATTGATGGAAAGTTTAATTGTTTCATTTTTCCTTACCGTCTGTTACACACTAGACTTTTAATCAGTGGGAACTGAAGTTATAATGAAGTAAAGTCCACTTTCCACAGTTCACAACTAGCTGAAAATAATTGGGTTGAGACTCCCATCCAGACAGTGTAATGCCTCTGGCATTTTCCTGAAAACTACACTTAATTGCTTTGCTGATGTTGTTAAGTGGTCCTGAGGGGGATGAAGTAGTAAAGCTGCCCACATATGCAGGGAAACAATACACAAAAAATGTCTTACAAGGTCCTTAAAGGAGGACCAACTAGTGACTAGAAGACAATATATGGCTATTTTTTCCCCCCTTTTCTATACCACAGAGAACACGCGAGAGAGGCTGATAGAATAAACTGGAAATTCTGTAAACACTAACAGTATTTTTATTTAAGGGCAGTAAGCTTGGGACCAGAAGTACAGAAAACGTCAGGGCAGAGCTCTTGCAATCAAACCTGCAACTTGAGGCTAGCCTGAGTTGCTTGGCAGTTTTATGCTGAACACTGGTTAGCTGCTGCCTGTCTTCAGCACCTTGGCCTGAGGAACAGATGTACTCTTGTCCCCAGGGAGGGAGGACAGCTTGCTCTCTGTGCTCTGAAGTGACAGGATGTGAGCCAGCTATGAGCTGAAAGCCTTGCCCAGGCATCAGTGGGACCAGCATGTGCACCCCGTTAGGCTCTAAATGTAGCCAGAGAAGGAATAACACTTTGGCATTTCTCCTGATTTAGCGCATTCATGGGAAACTCTCCCTGGTTGAATTGTGATTGTTTAAAATGATGAATCAACTGCTAGGCTCAAGGATATTCTGATGTAGAAATATGTTAGTTATTTAATAGAGAAAGATATGTATTTAGGACCCACGAATCAGGTGGTGTCCCTGAACTCAAAATCAGGGTTGGAGCTGGAACTGTTTTGGGGGAATGAGGACTATAGGGTTAACTTAGCTTTTTTAAGTAAGTGGGCTTTTGTTTTTTTTTTCCTTGTTTATTTACGTATACAGGCACAGTAAAGTCTCTCTCTCAACAGCCTGACCTTCCTCAGCTGCTATTTGTGTAAACTTCAGTATGACCTTTGCTTATTTTATTCTTGCTTTCACAGGCTCTGAGCTGAACAATTACGTCCTCACAACTTCTAGAAAGGAACGCAGGCAAAATTGAGGTATTGTGCTCTAAAGCTGAAATCTTAAAAGTTCCCTTAACCCTATATCCGATCCTAGAGGCCCTCCAGAATCTGCAAGTTGGTACCTCAAATCTTGGCCAGCATAGCTCTTCCAGCACCTGCAATGATGCTTTTCCCCCTGAAACACGCTGAAGTCTAGACAATACCTTGACGTGTAACCTCATATTAGGCTGACTATTCCCCACAATATTAATAAGCTTTAACACTTATTTCTCCTATGGTGAAATGGTCACCTCCCACGTGCTGGAACCGCCAACCATATGCCAAGGAGATCAAGCTGTCAGATTTGAGAAGAGCACTGGGAGTAGTGCATTGTGTCCAATTCACTGTGCTTGCCTGCCTCTGGGAGAGCAGCTCAGCAGCAGCAGTGGTTGTGTGCTCTGCTGTTCCTGGGTCCCGTTGCGAGGTGAGTAATCTGGTGTGGAATGGTTTTAGCAAATGCACCAAATGAGGACTGTGTTGTGACAACTGATGGGAGACTCTGCTTGGGTTTTGTACTCTCGGTGGTGCTGAGGGACTGAAGGAACCAGGGCAAACCTACAGTGCAGAGGGCAAAAAACCAACCTGATGTGGCTGGCTGAAACTTGCCACTGTGTTGTCCGGCTGTTTTAGAGGGTTCTCTGCCCTGGCCCTTCTTTTGGAGACAAGGTCGTTGTCCCAGAAGGAGGGGTGTTTCCTGGAGCTGTAATGCAGTCCTGTGCAGCACAGCTGCCAGATGGCCCTTGTTGCCAAGCAGACCTGCTTGCTGGGTCTCACATGCTTTAAAGTCTTACCCTGGGTCTCAAAGGAAACAAGAGGGAGGATGATTTGACACACATTCTCCTGATTTGACATACTGTATGGTTACAACATGGTGTGTCGTCCAGAAGAAATCCAAAATACGTGTTCATGTACAGGCACAAATCTGACTGTTCCCTGATAAACTGTTCATGTGGAAAGATACAATTTGCATGGTTGTCATCAAAGCCAGTGTATGTATTCATTTGCAGAAGCATGTCAGACACCATATGCCAGTAATATGCCTTTGATATGTTGGTGTCTGAATCATTTTTTTAACTGCTGAATGGCATATGTTTAAATGTAAACATCTGTTCTCTGTTTGTACTGTCGGTGTTTTTTATTTCTATATTTTCTTTTGACTAAGAGTTGGATTCAAACCCAGAAAAAATGTGGGATTCATCGTGTTTTTTAAAGAAAGACAGTTTTTTTAGTATTTCAGCATGTGGCCAATGTGTATGTTCTCATAGGTGAGAAGGGTATTTAAAAGAGAATTTTTTCCCTTTCGGTAACCAAAACGAACTCAATTTCCAGGCAAAATAAGAATTTTGACTAGAAGTTTCTTGAAAAAAATTATTGTTTTAGTGTTGGGCAGGTTCTGCGATGTATGGATTTACTGAAAAGCAGCCTAATGTTACACCATGACATTAAATTATTTTTATCCAGAAACTTTTCTGATGCAGTTAAAGAACTTGCAGTGTAATAAATGACTTAATAAAGGAATGAAATAATACATCATGTTTGTTAGGCTATTCATTATACATGGGTGAAACTCAGAACCACCGTCACAACAAAGGGTCTCAAAAGCAGTTATTGCTACTCATCAGTCAGATGAGCCACTGCAGCAGCATTCAGGATGCTACAGCCAGCCTGAAAGGCACGGTTTGGGCAAAAGTAGTGAACGATACCTTACTATGATAGCAACGTAGCAAGGGACTTTATGAACCAGCTGGGGATAGCTGACAAGTCTAGAGATGAGTGTCTAATGCTAAAGTACAGGAGGGGCTTAAGAAACATTGCAAAATGAGCAGCTGTGTTGGACTCATCAGCGTGATGGCAGGAAGAGGCTCCAGAAAGAAGCAACCACAGCAGCACATCATGAAGTTGCAGAGTTACGAGTACTGCTTCAGTAAATGCTTCAGCTGAGGAGAGGAACTTACTCTTGTGAGTGTCCCATGACTGCTGGTTTCTACTTTTGGTAAGAACTCACTCAATTTAGCAACAAATAACAAATGTCAGCTCTTGGTGGACTTGTGCAGCCTGGGCTTCATATTCTGTTTGTATGGTTTGGCTCAGGCCTTTAACAAATAAACAGCCTTTGCATATAACATAGGAAAATCAAATCTGTCTAAATCCTAAAGCTCCATGTCATTGTCACAGAGTCGTAGCATTTCATAGCCACATCTTAAAACAAACCAGATCAAAACAAACCATGAAAAGCTGAGTGCTGTTGGCCACCAGCTAGTTCGTAAAAAATGCCCTGAGTAGCCCAAAGTGCACCTGTGGCCATGGCAAAGCCACTGCCCGGGCAGCGGGACAGCCGGGCAGAGGGGCCTCGGAATCAGTCAGTGCCATCTTGTGGCATTTCAGGATATTAAAAGGCCCCTGAGCTACAGTAATTGCAAATGTCCTCGGAATCCACCACAATTCCAAAAATTGCAATGGTCCAGGACACAAACCCCGGCACGGCTGCGTGCACTTGGCCATAACTGCTGCGGTTGTGCACGGAGCAGCTCAGCACCTGAATGATTAATGAGGCAAACGCCTACCAATTATGGCTCATTGGAGGTGCACAGCGAGCTGCATGTAATTAGAAATCCTGGGAACAGATGGAGAATTTTGCAACATCAAAAGCCTGCTCCTTATTAGCCGTGCCCTGCGCTGGGCAAGTGAAGTGCCGGGTGTGGGCTGCCCTGCTGGGGCAGGGCTGGTCCCCCTGCAGAGAGCAGGGGCAGAGCCATCCCTTGGGGCAGAGCCGGCATCCCTGGGCAGGGACTGGCTGGCTGCTGTCACAGGTCACTCACCTGGGGTTACTGTGCTCCCACCTGCAGCACCAGGGCAAGGCCAAGCTGTGCTTAACCACCCAAACACCCCCAGCATCACCCACCCACCTGTGAGAGCAGCACGAGCTTGCTGCTCAGAGGTGGCTGCTGCTGCTGCATTGCTTGCAGTGTGAAACCTTTTGCTCCAGATCCCTGACAGCCTTAGCCTGGGACACAGCAGCATCAGCTATTACTGACTCAATTAAAAAAAAAAAAAAGAATTCCCAACACCTATCCTCCTCTTCCCACCCATCCAAATAGGTGGGAAGGGCCTAAGCCTTCATGTTGTCATTTTGTATGTATACAAACTGAATAAAAATATAAAGAAATAAACACATAACTTGATACATAATATAACTTGAAACATATATAATATTTACCTACTATATAAAGCAAGTTATATAATACAAACATAAGAAAAAGACCATTAGATAAATAACGTAAGTAATGTAGGAATACACATATAAAAGATAAATATATAAAATATGCATATAAATATATAGCTTATAAAAACAAATAATACAATTGTAATAAATTTATAAACAATAATATATAATGTTATCTATCTATCAAAAAATATGCTCTTTCCTAGTAATGACTGCTGCAATACCAGAAGGGGACACATCAGGTTCCTAGCAGTGTAGCATTTATTGCATAAAAAGGAAGGAAATAATAGCAACTTGAACAAGATTTAAAAGAGAGCTTTAAGGCCCATTCAGTCACCTGGTGGGTCAGTGGATACACCAGGGGCACATTACTACTTTACTGCCTCAAAGGATGCTGAAGGAAGGTGGGCTGACTCTTGTGAGCTTGTAGGTAACACAATGGCTCACTAACAAACACCTTTAGTTCTTCCTTGTCTCATCACCTGCTTTGAGGTGGTACAAGCAACTCAGACATTCCCCCAAAAGGCTTTTTGTGAGTGGTTATGGTCTAGTAACAAAGTTACAGTAATTTCTGATTTGTACATTCTCCAGTTCTCTTTTTTCTTTCAGTGACCCTTAAATTTGTGTAATTTATAATTCTTGGATTAAAACCAGATTTAATTTTTTTAGGGAAAACACATCATTTTTATCAAATCTTCTGAAAAGAGAAACTCTTTTACACTATGTACGTTCCATTCAAGGACTTGAGCCCTGATGTTCATCTAGTATAATTTTAGTAACAGTGGGATTTTCTCAGTTTTCTGTTGTGCTGGGAAGTAGTTTGGTACAGTTGCCAAGTACAGTTGTGTTGACTTGGCTTTAGATTTATTGCAGGGCACTGAATCCTGTTATAATCTCTTTTGTGAGGACAGTAGAAATGCTCTGATCTCAGACTGCCAAAAATTTTAGTATTTACAAGGAGTCAATTAATAATAAATTGAAAATGGATTTGTCCATATCAATTTGATTACAAAGACAAAAAGAAAAGTAGAAGATAAATCCATTGCCCTGAACTATCCCTATGGGTTGTTACACATATGACTACTGGGTTCACTCCAACTTGAATAAGGCAATTCTTAAGTTTTATTTTCCAAAGTAGGCAAACTGAGCTTTTATCTTCAATTAGTGTGAGCTCTGTTATTAAATGCAAAGTAATCTTACAAATAGTTTTAAGCCAATATTATAATTACAACATAATTGATTGCAATTGGTTTTTTTCCTAAGAAAGATGAAAGGAAATAATATTTCTTTCAAGTGTCTCTCATTTTCAACACCTTCTGTTGGCTGAACTCTCTCTGTAAATCTATAATTTGGATAACTATTTCCTCTCTGTCATGCTGGAAATGAAATTTGCTTTTTAGACTAAGATTTGTTTTTTCTCACTCATTTTCTCCCCCAGTAGCAAGCTTTAAGTTTTTTTTTCTGATGGTCTGGAATTTTTTATATTTTTGCATATAAAAGTTCCTGATAAGCCATCTCAGAGGGGATGATACCAGCCTGAATTCTGTCTACTTTCTTCTGGCAAGGTAAGTTTAAGCATTATTTTGTTGCTCATCAGAGGGCCTGATGTAGCTTCAGTTTGACTGGGAAGGGACTTTCTTCTGATGGAGCCATAAAATACCCCCAGCCTCTTTCACCATGTAACTGGGAAATTATGCACCCTGCAATAACCTTGGAAGGAACAGAAGCAGAACATGCTGCAGCTACCATTGAGAGGTAAAATTTGAATCCTGTTCAAGATTCGAAGATCAGAGATATACTAGTGTTTTCAGCACTGCCATTTCATTTTGAAAAGTACAATATAGATGAGAGCTCACATTTCAAGAGTTCAAGGATTTTCATTTCACAGTTTAGGCTCTAGCTTTTGGACAGACCTTGGTTTGTAACATCCCAAATTATAAGGTGGTTAAAAATAACACTTTGGCTTAACTCTCCTAATGTAACATTTCCCCTATTTCTTCTCCTCACAAAAATTCCTGGTTTGCCTATGGGATTCATTATTGCATTATGGCACCATATATTAGACTGGCTTTCCTAGTTAGCCCTTGGAGAGATTGCATTTCTACTTTGTAATGATTTTACCATTGGAAAAGTTCATCTAGAAAGATGCCTAGAAAACAATGAAGCCACTGGGGGAATTCTTCACTTCTTGAAGTATCCATCACTCCTCAGTAGAAGAATTGGAGGGATATGTTGAGCTTGCTACATCCTCCATCAAACTTTTGTTTGATTATTACATTATCAAGTTGCTTGCACTGTGAGAGATTAAAACAGTTGGGTAAGTGCAAAGCACAGAGTTACTGAGCACTTTGATAATAAGTCAGACATCAAACTAGTATTTGAAGTGCAGAACTACTGAGCTTTCCCTTTGTCACATGAGCAGATGTTGCCGGAGGCAAGGAGGAAAGGAGCTGTGCATTCTTTTATAACTTGGCTGCTGAACCTTGCAGTACCTGAAGAACCAGGCACTGTGTGCAGCTCCTGGTTAGATGCTTTTCAAAACTGTCTTCTGCCTAAGGGCTATCAGATGTGCAGCTGAGGCAAACAGATAGATTTTCCCATTGTGCATCTCCGTTGAGGACATGCTGCAGTATGCAGTAAGTAAATGGTTGGGCTGCTTTACATCAGGTGAGAGCTTTATTAATTTAGGAATCTAACAATAGTATTTTTCCCTTTTACTCTACTTTAAGGAGAGTTCTTCCCAGTATGACAGTGGGTTATTAATGAGCAGAGATGAAATATCTCAACTAGGGAGGAAGACTTCCTCCTGGATACATAACCACAGTGCAGGTTAATTCAGCTTGAAAGATCCAACCAGACCTATTTGCCATACACATTTATTCCCAATAACTGTGGCCTGCCTTATGTACATTCTGGCTACCTTTTAAGATGGATGGGAATTAGTCCATAGGGGAATCCTTAAGTCTGGTGACTTTCCTATCCCACTACCTGGATATCCATTTATTCTGAAGAATCCAAGAAACATCCAGTAAGTAACTCCCCAGGCCCAATGAACCAGCTCAGGACCCTGAGTCTCTAGGTAATTACACTCGTGCCTCTCACTGTTCAAGTAAAGAAGTGCTTCACTCTCTTATTTGTAACAAACATTAAGTAAACCTACAAGGAAATATCAACAGATGTAATACAGGACACCAGGGGTTTCAATGACCATCAGCAGAACTGCATCCATCTCCCTCAAACAAAATAAGCTGTACAACATTCCCTACTGATTTTCTTGCTGCAAATGCATTGCATATACCTCACTGGTATATTTGTAAATACTTCCACTCCTATTGCACATATCTCCTTATGATGGAGTGTCCAAAATACCGTGCTGGAAAATTGTTTCTGTGTACCTTACAGAGCTATGAAAGTTTGAACTGATGGAATACTGGGAGCACCAATATTCACTCACATAGCTGCAACAATCCCGTATTATCGAGATCCTGTGTGCCACTGAAAGAGCAGACTGAGGCTGGCACTCTCAAAGGAATATGGGTTTTGGAGGGTGAACTAATGCAAGTGCCACGGTTACAAAAGTGAGAGAGTTTATTTAGGAAAATTCATTTGAGAACAGAACACAAGACTAACAATACAACGAGGTGCAACTCAGAGAAAGAACCCTTCTGTAAGGAATGTGGACCAAAATACTATTTTCTACTTCACAACTGTCCATAGTCTCTTTCTAAGCACACTTGTCTATGTCTACTTCCAAAATACTGTTCTATCTTAACATTTTTTGTTTACAAATAAATAAATACTAGACATTGGAATTGTACATAAAATTATTTTTCCCTAGGCATGTTCATGGTCATGCCTTTCCACATTATGTGTAATCATTAGTGACACCACAGTCAACTATTAATGAAACCTCACAGAAAGCCCAGCTAGATAGGGAGAAACATGAAAATCTCAAGAAACAAGAATCTGACTTCCAAACAGAATACCTTCCTAAGACCAAAACTCATTAGGGAAGTCCTACAGGCAAACATCCTCTCATTATTTATTGTCATGGTTTACTGAAGATTCCTCAGTGTAATTCACAATTGGCTTTTAAATAAATCTCTCTGTATGGTAAATGTGATATTCTTGCATCTAAGGAGCAGTGTTAGCTGAAAACTAAGTAAGGCCAAGATTTCACATTTGAGGGACTCATAAAAGGCTTAGAGCCTGACAGTAATGCTATAAGAGGCAAAAATATGACTGACAACATATGGCTGAAAAGTAAGGTTGCAGTGGCTGTACAACATAATTACAAAACAGCAAGACTGCAAAGCAAAAGCAATTAGCTAACAAGTGTTGGTTATGAAGAATTATTTACAGTGAGGAACTTCTCTATAGGGCAAGGATGGTGCTGTGTTTACGATTAACATTTAAGTCATGAAGGCCTTGGATTTAAGGCTTTGCTTCCCATCCTTCATCTTGGCTTTTAGAGGCTCAGGTGGGCCTAGGCTCTCAAATGTTTTGAGGCACTCTGATAACCTGGAGGATTTGGTCTAAGCCTTCGAGAGTTCAGCTGCTCATCTGGAAATTAGGGGTACCAAAGCTTTTCTTTCTCATAGGGGTACTTTGAATGGGAGGGTGCTAAAGACTGGGAATTTTCATCAAATAGTTTTGCTATGGATCTTTTCAAAGGGATGAAGGTCTGATAGATTTTCCTTACAAATCTTATCATATGAAAGGGTTAACTGATGTTTATGCCTGAGTTGAAAAATGCATGACCATGACTTCCATTTTGGACCACACTAAAACTGCTGAGACCTCTTAAAGAATGCCTCAGAAATTTCCATCTCTAATCAGAACGGGGTGAAGTTCCCTTCAAGGAGAAAATCCTCTGGTGTGATCTGTTTTTCTGCTGTAGTTAAATATTCTTGGGCTGATTCAGCATCTGGGCTGATGAGCTGGCCCCTGGAAGCACTTGCCTTGGTTGCTCTTGAGGAGGCTGGAGGGGCAGCACAACGGAAAGTTTCTCTCCTCGCCAGAGGACACGCACAGGCCAGTGCTTGCCAGGGCACTGTCTCCTGACTCCCTCACTTGGCTCAGTGCACTGCCCATAAAAGATTCATTCTCTAAAATTTCATCTTTATCACTTTGCATAACAATGTTTCTCTACTAAGGTAATACTATAGTCAAACAAATGTAAAGCTGATGAGGATAAAGAGTAAAATAACTGGAAAGGGCTTTGTACTGAAAGGGGATATTAACACAAACATATGGCTTTTTTTAGTGCACCTATTATAAAGTCATGCCTACTCTTTGCTGAATGCATACCTATGAGACTGTGTGTGTGCAATAAAACCCTTAGTTTATTAAGCATTTTTTTTTCTATTCTGCTATGTCAGTCTAAATTCACTTTGAAGGCAGGAATGATGGAATTGTTCAATATATTGTGTGCGGAAGGTTATGACCTCTGCAATCAGCCTCTGAAACACCACTGTCTTCTTACTTCTGGGGCAGCTGAAATGAATTATAAGGTACCCTCATAAAACATTTTACTAAAGCTGAAGCCTCTGAATATGCAGAACTTGAGCATTTTTGTATCCTTTCTAATTTCCAAAATATTTACAATTCGTATAGGATTTTAAAAAATAAAATTTAACTTACTATTTTTACTGAATGTCTTGTTTCTAAACAAGATCTCAATCCTGCAACAGCTCAAACGGGTGAATGGCCTTGTGCTTGTAAAAAAAATGTGCCACTGATTTCTCCATCCATTTGTGTACATGTTTTGCAGGAGACAGATGTGTCTTCCTGCTGCATGATATAATGGCAACTCTGAGTGCTGGACCATGCTATGGAAGACAAGTGTCTGCACTGAGGCACACTCCTAACCCCAGGGGAGGAAGGCTTTTGGTTCAAAAAGGGCAGAGAAGGAATACCCTCATGAAAATCTGAGACCACAAATACCTTGCCCTGCACATAATGATCCTCTCTTTGGTGGAAGACTGACCCAGCCAAGTTGGAACACATCGTGTAAAGTTGTCATCGCTCCTCTGCATTTCCACACTTATTAAACCTGCTTTCTTCATTCTCTGTAACATAATGCAACTAGAAATATATCAGCCACAACAGCAATCTTTTCCTCTCATCAGCTCTATGGCAGCAGCTCTGCCTCCAGTCTGTGCTGTTACTAGCAGGGTAGCTCCAAGTAATCGTTTGTTTTCAATGCACAACAAAGGCCTATACGGCATCAGGGGGCCCATGAAGTGGTTGAAGTTTATCATTGGTGGCCTTTATTCTGTAAAGCATTTAAGCACCACAGTTTTACTAAAGGTGCTGTGAATATTCACTCAGTGCCCATGGGTGAACATGGTTCACCAGACTCCGGTGTTAACACCACAGCTCTACCTTGCTTATGGAACTTGAAAACTTTTCCATCAGTTTCCTGTCTGAACAGATGTAACTTATATAATGCTTTTTAAAACAAACAAACAAACAACAAAAGATATATTCATATCTTGAAGGTACAGGGCCTTGAGGAAAATGCGTTAACATGGTGAAAGGCCAAGCTTAACCACTCAGTGCTCCAGAAAGAGAACGCTGTTATTCTCCAGGAAGAGAATTGTGAAAAAACAGGCTGTCCCGCACACAAAATGTTCTCTTTATTCTCTACATGAATGAGTTTGTATCTGCTGATAACCCACTTCTTTCCAAGGGCTTCAGGTTTAGGATTCCCTTTGATGCTAGACTCACTGCTAGGAATAGTAAACCACTCTAACTTTGATGGAGATACAATTATTCCCTATAGTCAGCTATTCCATTGTTTCCTCTAAAGCTTTTATTTATGCCACCATTTCACTTTGGGTAGGTTTCCCCCTTCAACCTTTCTGATTTAAATCATACCAGTAAAAAAAGTTACAAATCAGATAGCCCAAGAGGCATGCAATATTTTCATATAAAATATAGATAAATTTGTGCTTTTCTGTAACATATGTAACTAAAATTGTATCAAGGATTGCAACCACCATCTTTTTCTTTCGTCAACCCTCTTGCAGCAGCTCTGCTTCCCGTCTGTGCTGTCACTACCAGGGTAGCTGTGGTAGCAGCCTCCGACAGAGTCCTGGGATCACAGAAACCACCTGGCCCAGGGCTAGAGATGTCTTGGTCTGAACACATGTTGGTGCCAACACTTCTGAAGGTTTCAGCCTGTCTGGAGCACTGGAGTGTTACATCAGGCAGCTCAGCCTAGTAATGGTAACCTAAGCTACCAGCAGCAGGGAGGCATTTGTGCTGTGCTTTGCTTAGAGGAGCGTTCAGAGCCTGTGACACTGTCTGACACTGACTGATTAAGGCACAGGTACTGTGGTGCTGTCAGGAAAGAAGAAAGAGGACTTGCGATGCTATTGTTGCTCATGGATCTCCAGCAGAGCAGCAGCCAGACACCAGTGCACAGCAGCCTCGTGCTCTACCACCTTTTCTGAGAATTACTGCCTAGTCAACCCTAAAGCGATTAAGAACACACCATGTTTTTAACACAGCCTGTTCCTCCACACAGACTGCACAGACTGTATATCATAGGTGATCAAACCCTTAAGACTGGGGAGGGAATTGTGACAGGAGGAGAAGAAGGAGATGTGACAAGGACAAAAATATGAACTCTATAATGAGTCTTATCAGGAAACCATTAGGAAGGCTGCTGGTACACCAAACAAGACCAGGTCCTAACGGAGAGAAACAGAGCTACCTAGTTATGCTGCAGATACAAACTAATCCTCCTTTTCTCCATTGCTTTTACTCGCCATCTTTAAAAACCACACATTCAAATTTCTTCCTGAATGCAATTTTCTGGGTATCCCCAAAGTTCACACTACACTACTAGTGGGAATGGTGAGAAGGATTGCTTAGCCAGGCAGCCTAGGATGTGGGACTAAAATTTTAGTTTTATTTAGTTTAATTTGTAGGGCTTTCCCGGTAAAAAAATGCAGGGGTTTCCTATGTACCTTTTCATCTCATCTTTGCAAGTGATGAAATAATCATTTCCCTTCTCTCTGAGGGTGATGCTGAAGCCCTCAGAAAGAGTAACATATGTGGTGTCCAGGCTTGGGGACACTCTTTAGCTCAGACTTACATCTTTGGCCTTCTGGAGTCACCTCTCCTCCTTACAGCCTATGCAGGCAGGAAGGCAAGCAGGAAAATAGAAAATCTCATCTATCTTGAGAAATCTGAGATCTCTGCGGACCTGAGATGCTCTTTCTCCTTTGTGTGCCAAACTAGATGTGTTTCTGTCGCCTGTGTGGTGCCAGGATTGTCCTTGTCCTCCACGAAGCAGAGGCCAGGGAAAACTGGAAAGATTCTAATCTTCCTTCCACTGGGGAGGAGGCAATTGTGCTTCCAGGAGCCTTCTCTTATCACAACTGGGCAGTTTTAATCTCAGCTTTCTTAATAAATATTTAGTGGGCAATTGATATGTTCCCTTCTGCTCTATCTAAGAGAGCTGATTATTGCTAGGGTCAGGTGGTTACATGAGCTACATGTAGCAGTAGGAAATAAGTACAAACCTCATCTCCTCAGCTTTAATTACAATATCAGTGCTATCAAATTCCATGTGGATACACCTCCCTCATCAGCTCCAAACAATTTCAGATGTGTGTACTAACAGGATCCACAACATCTTTAACTCATGATCTTCTGTCATTACAATATAATTACTCTAATGCATCTTTACTGTGCAACGCCAGCCAAAACTAACAATCATTGAGCATACAGTCTAATGGCAGAATAGAGATGTTAATGTAAGCTTTCAGCTTACAGGGACTTGCAGCATTTCTTCCAGTCCCATTATTCAACATTTGTGGGCAACCTCACTCCTACTTGCTTCCCTTCCTTCTCTATAGTTATTTTATGAAACAATTATGTTATTCTAGCACTGAGAAGCCCCAGGTGGCACTGAAATCCCAGGGGGAGTCTGACGTAAGAGTCAATAAAGTGGCAATAAATTGTCTCACCTTGGATAGCTCTGTGGATATAGAAGAGGAATAGATGAAGGTCAGTCACAGAAGAACAACCGTATTTTACACCTTGCTGAGCTATGGGTGAGGATCTGGGCCTTGTGTAGATGTTGGAAAGAGGTTAGGAGCAATTTGACAGAAAATGCAGTACTGGCTAATTAAGTTAGCAAATATCCCTCGATTAAGTGCTGGTAGAGGTCAGATACAAAAGTCAGTTAGAGAGAACAGTGTAAGCTTCAAAGGGTCTTTGTGGCAAAAAGGTAAAGAATGAGCCAGTGGCATAACCTGTCAAATGACAAGCCATGAAGATAATTTTAGCCTTTCATTTCTACCACTGTAGAAAGCGAAGAACAAAGTACACATTTTGAAGAGAGAAAATGGGATGAATATTTGAAACTACGTAAGGATTTTTAAATGAGAATAAGCTGCAGACATCTCTCTCATTGCACTATGCAATGTATTCTTGTGCCTTTGCAGAGATTTACAAAACTCTCTCAGTATATCAATTTCATCAGTCTTTTTACTATTCTAAAATGGCAATCACTTTAAACTGCATAATAGCATCTGTATTTGATTCATGTGGCTTTCTATGTGACAACAGTCACTATGATTAAAACATACATTATCAAGACTTGAAAAAGACAGTTAAACTGGAATGGCATTACATTGTCACCTATCCAAATTGTAATTGGTGTTTAATTGTAGCTCTGCAAGCAAACATAGAAAGACAACAAAGAAACCTCTGGTTTGATTGAAAGCAATTAAGAGAGGAAAACCCAAGAGAGATAATATATGAAGTTTCAAGGAAGAAGCATTCCTTCCCTGAAATGCAAAGGCCCTTCTTGAGTCTGGGAGAGGTAAAGCATGGGAATAGTGCAGCTGTTTCTGGGAACTTATCTTTGGAATGGAAATGCAAATTAAGAGCTGCCAAGCTGATTTTTATCTCCGTGTATCACCCATCATATTTATACTGTATATGTTTGCTGATGTTCTGTATTATCCCAGTTAACTCTGTTGTTTGCATATTAACTCTTTTGTGTCCCAGATGCTCATACAAGGATCATAAATATTTTGTGAAAGGTATAACCATCACTTTCAACAGTATAAACTGTTGTTTCCTCAAACAGCTTTCCCTCTGTTCTTGGAGAAGGCTCAAAGAATCCCTGAAGAACTACTTCAGAATGAGAGTTTTTCAGCATCAGCTCACAGGGATATGGAGGAAGCAGTTCCTGAGACAAAGTACTTCCACAACAGTCACTTTGCATCTATACCCAGTGAGTTTACCTTTAAGGGTAAACTGATCCCAACCTGATTCCAGACATGGGGAGATGGAGGGTAATGCAGTTTCAAGAATGCCAGAAGGTAGCACGTAGTTCTGCGGGCTTGAATCCACACTTTGGCTCTCTACTAGGGGTACACCCATGAGAATAAGGGTAATATATGCAGTTCACACGTGGAGTATGCAGACTTCATACCTGGAACTGGACAGAGATTTCGAGAACGGACAGGGCTTGTGGTTTCACAGGGCATCATCTCTAATTACCAGGAAGGTTCCCTGGTTCTGTTCCAGAATGGAAAAGGAAAATATTTTTGTCTACTTTAACTTCACACTGGCACTGCCAGATGATTCATAGGCTCTGGAGAACACAGACATTACCAGCTCAGCACATTTGTACACCAATCACCATTTGTCATATGTGAGTACTTCCCACAGTCCTAAAAAGGGATTTGTTTTGTGTATTATTTGCAGAAAATGTAACAAACTCCACACTGAACAGCAAAATAAAAACAGCACTTGATTATTTTATTGAATATTTGCCTATTTACTTGCCAAAACTTCACTTTAGGATTTTTTTTATACTGTCTAATAAAAGGACCCCCAGAGCTGTCTTCTCTGTGGAGAAAAGCTGTCAACATCCAGTATAATTTTCTGCATATTGAGTGAAGTACTTGAAAGTCCCAGATCCATTTTAATACGTGAGCTGCTCTCCCATTTGTATGCAGCTGGAGAGAGTAGTTTTATCCTCATTTAAAAAAGCCATATGATGGATTTCTTTCTTTAAACAAATACTGTCTCAAACTTTTCTTTTTTGGCTCTCTTTCCCCCAGCATACACCTTTCCTCTCTTGTTAGGCACCACTGAGCTGAAATCACTGCATAGTGCTGACATCTCACTCGTTATACATAAAACAATGCCAGCACCATTTCTTTTGTGATGTCTCTGTGCATGATCTGCTGGAATAATTACCAGATTAACTGTTTATTAATATAATTTTTTGCAAAGCAGTGAGGAAATTCCATTGCACTGCCTTGAATAAGGCCTTCACTGTCATTTTCTGAATTTTTGTGATTCTGGGAACTGACAGCTTCTAATCCCAGCCAAAGCTTTTTCCAGTCCTGGTCCTGCAAATACTTTGCCACAAAGGGGTGGACCTACAAGAGTCAGAAGACTAATGTTAAATACTCAGTATTCTTTCCTATGTGAGTACCAGATTCATTTGCATTCTCAGGTGCTTCAAGCAAGGTGTGCCCTGGTACAAGCACCTGCTTTTGCTGTCATTGTACCTGGACTACATGAAGGGACACAAGGAGGGACCCGCAGCATTGGCCACCCTTGCTTTTCTGCATACACACACGGACGCTACCTGTCTCTGGATTTCTAATAACATTTACTCACCACTGATTGCTGGTGACTTGTTACAGTGCTTGAATATCTGTTAAATGTGTGTTTTGAGAGCTGTAATTATTCTTATTTACCACACCAAATGCAAACTCTATCCTAATTAGGTGCATTTCAGAGGCTGTTTATCTGAAGTGCTGTTAGCTCTCCTCCATCTTGGCCCAGGACAGGAGAGCATTCAATGCAAATGTAGTGACATTCCATTGCACCAGTCAGCTGTGCTCAGTCCTTCCACAGCTATTAACTCTGATGCAATGAAATGTTGTTGTTATGGGTTGCAGGGAGCATGTTTAACATCCACAGCTATTTTTAATGATTCTGTCAAGAGGAAAGATTACAGCTGTGAAGGCATAGGGAGATTTTGTGCACCAGTCACAAAGCTTTGAACTCTGCACACACCACGACTGAACACACTGAACATACATTTCAACACATCCTGACACTAAAAAAGTCATGGTTAAGAAACAGGATATCTGAAGGTTATAGAACATTTAATGGCTCTGGTGTAAACAATACGCTACCAAGACATGAGTGCCAAACGTTATCAACCTCCCAGACTGGAAATGCCACATCTCACAGGCTGAGAATGACTCACTCAAACAACCTTAGATGGCAAACCCCCAAGCACACAACTTTGGAGTAATGCTAGTAACTCAGTGGGAAGCACTTGATCCAAGAAGAGAGCACTGAGTAATTCCCCAGAGAGTGCTTGCAGATGCTTTCACCTAAATTCAAGATCTCTGCTCCACATTTCTGTTTTGAATGAGAATAAAACAGAGGATTGTCACATTTTCCAATGACATTACTGAAAAGTTTCTGCCTATTTGCATTTGGGAGAACATTATTCAGATGGACACAACACATTCTGGATGACATGCGAGAATTAACTTTGGCCAAATTAACTTGCCAAATTCCATCCTGGTAGATAATTTTCTGTGTATTTAAATCCACCTCACAACATTGACAGAGCACTTTTTAGCTCACATTCTGTCTTCCAGCTCTTGTATTGTTAAATATTATCTGCATTTCATCTTCTGTGTAGCTGCTTTTCCCCGAGTTCAGTGCTACGTTAGAGTGTGGTATCTGTATATATGTGAATGGGAGCTCTGGGGTCTTTAAAATCACTTGTGTTACTGCAAAAACATCAGTGCTACATGACGCATTATTTTTAGTACCAGACAAATTTTTGCAGAGCAAGGTGCAATCCCACACATAATGAGATTAGTCTGTATGTCAAATTATTTTATGCCATTATGGGGCATGACTACATTACAGAGTAGCTGTTGTATTTTTTTATCTCTTCAAGAACATTTATTACTACAGTGAGGATCCTGCATTGACTCCAATGAAGACCCAGGCCCCTATTGTGCTAGACACTATAGCAACAGACAGTAAAAGGCAGTCCTTGTAACTAAAGACCTTCATTGCCAGAGATTTATCTTCTATTCTTCAGTTTATAACAGTTGCAAAACAATTTGAATGAAGAATAAGAATTGCAATGAATTGTCTGTGGGATGAATTCATATGTAGGTGGGAAACCCCGAGCCAGTTAAAAAAATCAAGGGGTGTAATCCTGAACCAAGTGAAGTAACATGAGAACTCCTACTGACTCCAATGGGAGCCAGGATTTCCCCTCTCTGCTCCCATTTCACCAGGTGCATGTCTGCATAGCACAGTGCGGTGTTACACAGTGGTATCTCCAAATCCCTTGCTACCAAAAGCAGAATTGCAGTGTGGACATATTGTTCCTGTCAGCGTGAGGAGCCCAAACACAGCTGTGCTGTTGCTGTGCAATGGCTCCAGTGCTCAGCACCACCTGCTCCCTGGTGACACTGTGTGTCACTGCCCAGGGCCATCTACACACAGCCACAGCGCTGCTGCAGCTGTGGGGGTTTCTACAGAGCTGTCTAGGAACCAGTTACAGGTAGTGGGCTCCCAAACTGCCTGGATTCACTAGTCTGTCACGAAATTGTTGACCTACCACTGATAGTCAGCAGAACAATCAATTATGGTCTACAATACTTCGTGGTCTCCGGTGCAGGGGCTATTTAGATGACAGTGAACTTCTTAACATACTGCGTTTCTTGCCACAAATCCTTTCTCTAAGGGATACAGACTAAAAATATTCCTGAGGTACAGCTCATAAACAGACACATCCCCTGTTCAGATCTTGCTGATGCTCTGTGTTATTATTTGCTTAAATTGCATTGCTCTCCAGCCCTAACAGGAGACCCAGGTAACTTAATTTTTGTGTTTTGTGACTGATGCAATGCACATTAAAGCAGAGATAATCATGACTTCAGAGATGCAGGTCTCTTTTCTGAATATTCTGACTATGAATGTAATATAATAGAGGTTTGAGTGACGCTCATTTTGCACCCCTGAGTTTATCATAAGATTAACAGTCTTTATTATTTTGCAAAACAGGCAGTAGCACCTCATCAAGGGTATAATCACTTCAGTCAAGAAACAAACAACCTTTTACTTAATGTGCTAAAAATACAGTTGAGAAACCTTCGATCTCAAGCCGTGTGATAAAATAGACTGTGTTGACTGAGCAGATCAGCAGCTGCTGCTGTTCAGGCTCCTTCACCCTAACAATGCTTGCCTTTTTCTCTCCCCACCAAATTTAGAGATGATGTCAGTGTAGCCAACCCCAGGAGTTCAAAAATCAGAAGGCAAACCAAAATAGAATCACAGGATTGATATCAAAGCCATGGAAGTTATTGAAACCGAAGCGTATGATTTGGGGGGTCAGCCTTTAGATTTTTTAATTCATAGGAGACAGTCTTCTCCCTTCCAGTTGTCTGCTCAGTTCTCCTGGCTGTCTGATATGCCCTATTTCAGAGTGAGAGACAACACAGGACAATGGGAAACACAAAGGATTGGGAATCTATTTAAAGTATATATAAAGCTCAATTCTCCACCATATGTAAAGCCTTAATCCTGCAAATACTTTCTCTGAATGCTCAGCTTCATTCACACAAGCAGCCCCACGGAAACCTGTGGGGGTCCTCTTGTACCTGAAGTTTGTCACTTATATAAGTTACTATTGCACGTCAGAAATGTTGGCCTATGTCACAATATTAAGAGTTAGCTAAGAACGAAGAGATCTGTTGCTCAGTTTTCTCTATGATCTTGGCAAGTCCTGATTCATTCTATATCCTAGCTTCCTGCTCTTTAAAAAAGGGAGTAAAATTTATCTCTACAAGGTACTTGGAAGCCTCCAGACAAAAGATAATAAAATTCAGAAAATTAATACATTTTCTTTTTCTGATGTAAATTGATTTCTAGCTAACACAGCTGGAAAGAATGCTTAAGAATCAGTGAAAATTATTTCATAATTAAATCTCCTAATAAGACCAAACCCTTAGAACCCTTAATGCACCATGAATCAAGTCTGACTGAGCAGCCAAGAGAAGCAGAGGACTTATTCTTCTCAGTGCTGAGAAGACACAGTTCTCGTTTCACAAACTAGACCTTTTGCAGACCCTCTTCTGAAAAGAGCAGTTCCTGGGAGTCAGGAGTAAACTCATACAGGAGTTTATCAAGATGCAAACATTTAGTTACATTTTTCCTACACAAAATATCAGATTCCTCTGAATTTTAAATTAAATTTAATTGATCCTATTTTTAAATTTAGTCTGAATGTAAAGTCCAATTTTTTGATGCAGCAGGAACATGTTAAGATGAAACGGTTTGTTAGAAAAGTACTCACTTAAAATAACTGAAGGCTTTCATCTTTTATTAAACATTTGAAATTACTAAAAGATACTACCTTAGAATGGTTTAATTTAAAGAGGCAAACTGATGCATTTTATTAATTAGACCATTAAAAAACTCATTTATGTGTAAATAAGTCTAGGTCATTAAATCTTAATGTACATTGTCAAAGTGAAACTTCAATCTTCAAACTTTCGAGTTATGTTAATTCATGGCCCTAAAAATTAATTAAAAATAGAATTACCATCAAAGAACTTACTTCCTCCCTCCTGTTTTTAAAGAGAAATTATGTATTTGTAGCAATAAAAAGTGTTATTTCTGCTCAGTTCTCCGTTCACGCATTCTCTTTGTCTGTAAGACTTTGTTTAAACTTGGATGTACAACATCTATATTTTGATATCAGTAATGTATTTGAATATTTTTAAAGCATAACAAAAGATAGCTAGCAGTGATGTTGTCCCTAATTTTCATGATAGCAAGAAGAGGCTATTTCAGTGAAATCACATAATTTGAATTAATGGCATAATGAGTCAAAATATATAACGAATAATGAGTCAAAAATATGATTGGGCATAGCTGAAAAAGTAGGGCTAAAAGGTTGTCTCCTGTTCAACTTTGTGATTATTGCAGTCATAAAGTCATATTCTCAATTGCCCATAGCTTTACAAAACAGAAAGTATTTAGAATGAAAGTCTCTAGGAAATTTCTGAGATTCTCAGGCTGATTTTAGAAAATTTCAGGAAAAAAATGTAGAAAAATTTCCAAGCTCAGCCACTTCCAGGAACAGAGTAAAAGCTATCTCATTTGATTACAGAGAGATAAAAGGGTTTCTAGGGACACAAACTGGGAGAAGTTGTTGCAAAGATGCTGAAGACCGAATTGAGAGAAACTGGAAATGGGCAGTAGAGTGCAGGAGAAACTCAGGGCAGGCGGTCAAGTAGATACTGCAAGAGAAGCCCATGGATCCTGCACAAGTGAAAGGAATGAGACTGGATTGAGGACAGAGGAGAGCAGGGGAGGTAATGGGGGAATGGAAATGACACTGAAAAAGACCGTGGAGAACAGGAGAGAGGGACTCAAGTGCAGCAGCTTGGGTAAAATGGCCTGTGCCCACTCCAGTCTTAAGAACAAATCCCAAGGATGCCAGAATCTCAACACACATGTGAAAACAAGAAGTAATTATCATGTACTTCCATACATATAGGTCACAGATCAAAAATGGTCCACATTATAATAACTGGTGAAGATTGCTTTTCCTTTTTATACCCTTTAATGAACAGTTAAAATTCCTTTCTTTTCCAGGTGCCTAAAATCAAGAGGATGCAGAAATGACAGTTTTGTGCAGTACTAACCAGACTTGCAATGCTGACACAACACATAGGGAGAAAAAGAAAGAAAGAACAGTGAAAATTGTGTGAAGGCTCTAAGGATAAGGGATGCTTTTAAGGTAGAAGCAGTGATACAAGTGATACAAGTGACGTATTATGAGTAACTCCCATTGGCAGGAATGCTGTCCAGCATTTGCAGGGACATTCTCTGCATCCAATACTAGACTATATTTTCTTCCTTACTTAGTGACAGGTTGGGCATATAAAATTCAGGTGCTTTAAAAATACAAAAATACTTGAATTGTTTTGAGTCTTCCTAATTCACTTGAGCATGCTACACTAACAAAGGACCCTCTATGGCCTTATATTCGTACTGAATGCTTGTTTTGTAGATAACAAGAGTAGATGAGTGACAAGAATCTTTTCATTGAAGCACTGCATTAAATATGGTTGTTCCTGTACAGATACAAAGCATGTAAATTGTTCATTATTATATATGAAGCCATATTACGGTTACATAGGAGAAGGGATTGCTCCCATTGTGCACATTCTTTGGAACTGTGTGCCACATGCACAATCAAGCATGACACAAGAAAATTCATCAAAGAATATTTAAATATACCTTACGGAGCCACTAAATTTTCTGATGGTTTTACAGAAGAAAAACTAATTGCATTTGCACAGTATAAATGTTTTATAAGGGTTAAGTCCATCAATGGTTTTACTTTCTTCTTTGGTAAACACTTAGTCTAATTAAAGAAATGGATAACAAAATTCAGAAGAAATGAACAAAATTCAGAAACTGTTTAAATACATAAAAATTTCTTCTATTTTAGCTGCTTTTACTTTTTCCTACTGATTTTTTACAGTATCAGCAACACATAGCTGTCCTATCAAGGTGTCTTCAGAGTGGATAATAACCGACAATTATTATCAAAAAGACCTCACACCCTTTTCCAAGACTTAAAATTAAAATCAAACTAATTACATAATGATAATATATTGAAATCACTAATAATTCTTCTGGCAAACATAGTCAAATTTGTTATACTAAACATTTAGTTTTACTAAGACTATGAGGTTTTCTTCTGTAACATTATACACTCCATCTGAGTGCATCCACTTAATTTTAGAAAATTCTGTAAACTTTCTAGGCTGTTGCTGTCTTGGAAATTCTGCTGCTGAGTTTTCAAAAATGCACAGAAAGAACCAAATAAATGCTTCATTCTGTCATGACTTATCCAATTACCTGGTGGAGCTCTGTGACTGACAGCCTGCAGTCAGTAGTCTGATATGGTCAAATTTGACACTGCTTTGATGTTTTCTTAGGTGGCTTTTTTGCATATTTTACTGGATATACAAAATTCTACATGGAGTCTGCTGGATTATATGATCTCTTGTTTTAAATTCATCCAAAAGAATATTTTGCTAAGGTGATTTACTTTCCTGTTATATTGGAAACAAAGATGATACTACTGATCTTTTTACACACTAAGTTCATATTTCTTATTTAGAACTGTGGAGCACTTAAATTGAAATTCTTTGTTTTCCTTGGACAGGTGAAGATTGATTCCAGTGGTCTTCCAAACAGACCAAAAATCAGGATAGTCGAGATTGACAACATTTCATTGGTATGAGCAAGAGAAGAGTCAGATTATTCTTTGCCAAGCTATATGACTATGGAGCACCATTCTGATATTTCTAACTCTCTTACCACTTCACTATTGATATTGTGACAGGATTTGTAATACCATTAGGCTGTGTTGCCAAGAGCAATTCTTTTAAAGAGTATGACACTGAATACAGGCTCTGGTAAATGATGCCTTCAGTTAGAAAGCGTGTGACAGAACTCTTCCAGAACCTTTTACAGAGAATATGTCTTGACCAAAAAGTGACAAAAGAGAAAATAGTGCTTAAACCTGTGCAACAGAGCACTGAGACAGAAAAATCTCTACTGAAAATGCCTTTTTGTGCAAGAATTGATCTCACTGTCATTTTTAGTAATGTAAATCACAAGGAGCCGTTGAAATCAGGGGGAACTACAACAGTATAAATCAGGTGTCATATGAATAACAAAGTTGTAAGATATTGTTATTGGGTCACTCAGTTCTGCTCCATAGTTTTATTTTAGCTCTAACATTTATCAGCTTTCCTTGTGCAAGCTAACTCTTAAAATCAACATATTTTCTGCAGTTTGGCAACAATGGTTATTCTGGATTGGGTATTCACAGAGCAAGTAACAGAGAATTTGTCATGATGGGTCCATCTCCTCTTCTACAGCTCCTCTCATGCTTTATGTCTCTACTTTATATACCCATAAAATATCTAACTGACTATGAAATGACAGTAAGAAAAAGTAAGAAGTGTTCCCTTTTCATCATATTTCTCTGACACATGAGATTTGATCATCTGTATTATCATAGCTATAAATAGCATTAGCAAGCATATTACCCAGCCCCATTACATACAGACACATTATCTGCCATGGAAAAACCCAAGGGCTAATTATTCTCTGCATAAAATATTTTCGTTATTTGTTCTAAACGCACTGGTCCTTAATGTCATAATGCATTGATTGCACTAAGCTGTGAAATGCAGAAAATACCCCCATCACTGTGTTCTGTTCCCACTACTTCCTACTCTTCTCAAACAAAACCACTCTAGGATGAGAATCTCTGTGGTATGAAGTGGTAAATGATCCAAAGGACTGTCACTTTATACCTTCTGAATCTTTATAGTCTTTGAGGTGGTTTGTATGTAAATCTTACTGTACATCTCACTAGCTCTGTCACCTTTTTATGAGCACTCACAGTCTATATATCAGCTGTCTTGACCAAAATTTGGAATAACTTTTAGAACATAGAAACACGGCTCCTGAAAATGATCACTGTCATATCATCATGATGTCATGAAAGGAGAACTAAAATAAATCAGAACTTCCAGACTTCTAGTTATTATGCTGGTCTCACTAGAAACTCAGCTTATTTTCTGGGGGAGTTGTTTTGTTTGAGGGTTTTTGTCTGTCTCTTTGTTTGTTAAAGAATACTCCACAAAGACAGTGTTATTTTCTTGGGGTTTTGTTGCTCTGGAAATAATTTCGTCCAGTAATAATTTATAATCTCTGAAAATACATCTCCAATTGTGATCCAGTTTCTATTGTAATGCTGCAAATTGATGAAATTAACATTAATACTGATGAAATTTATAATGTTTTATGTGATTATTGCTTCACTAATCACTATGTATTCCACTGCTAGCTGAATGCGAGATCATTAATACACTATATGTATAAACATTAAGCTTAATGGAGTTAAATGATGATATGGAAAGGCAGGATGGCTAATTAATGATCACACAAAAAATTAGTACTCTTTCTTGATAATTCACAAGCTGTTCTATGAGGAACTGCAGCCTTGCAGAGTAAAATGCAGTGCATCCCTTAATTACAAATAAGCTAGGGAGTTGTGAAAGCACAGACTACCTTTTAACCTCCTGTTACTATAGACTGTTTTCAAGCTTCTCAGCAAGATTTTTCCTGGTGAAAAGGTAAATTAAAGGAAAACCTTTTCTACTATCTTTATTGGTCACCTTTAAGTGAATATTTGACTGATGGGACCTAGTCAAGCTTTACATTTAAGAGACACTTAATGAAACAGTACATCAGTCTTAAATGGTCCTTAATTGGTTCGTGTGATATGTCTGTGTTGGTACTTAGTGCAGGATTGAATTTCACACTAAAGGCTTATTTCTACTAACCCTTAACTCATGCTGAGTATCCCTCTCTCCCTTGTGCATAGTCTCATTGATTTCGCCCAGAGTAATTGTCTTTCTCTGTTCCACAATTCTAAATGTTTTCCTCTGTAGTTTTCATAAAAGAACAAAATAATTTTTTTCTAGATCATTTAAGTCCTTGGATAGAACAAATTAATTCTAACTTAATTCTACTATATGACAAGCAATAAAAAGCATCTGTATGAATTAAAAACATTATATCAACTCTTTCCATCTCACATTCAGACTGTAAAATAACACTTTGTGTCCTCTCAAATGCAACTGCCAGTATTGCCCAGAAACATGAAATTGGCACATAACTCCATAAATCCTTTGCCTAATATCACTGCCTGTGGATCAAATGTCCCTGACAGTGGATCAAATATCAACTCATTTTATTTGCCCTGCAGTTTTCTTATGACACAAAATTAATGCTTTTTGATTTTTGATTTTTTAAGGATGGGTTCTCTTGATTTCTCCAGTTACTACTGCTTTTAATTGACTACCTACAGCTGTATTATTGGATATAAAAAATTTCAGTGAGAGCATTATCCTACAAAACCTAAAGTCACGGCACATTTTTCGAGGTATTTCAGCAAATATTAACTTTGGGCAAAACTCAATGGCTTTTTTCTGCTTGGCCTAGTCTTTGATATCTCATAGGTTAGTAGAGCTCCTCTTTTGAATATAAGAACTGGCTTTTGTTCAATTTTTTTACGTTTTTTAGTGATAACAGAGTTTCAGCTGATAAATTCTAATTTATTAGAGAGAGCAAGAACATTTTGTAGTGATCCTGTACCTTCAAGACATAGACTCCATCTTTTCAGACAAGACACATTATGCAGAAAACTCACGTTCAGAGCCATTTTAAAAATGTTTCATTGAAGTTCATTCATATAGTCAGATATGTGATATTGGACACTTGGTCCAAAGGAAAATGTTATAATGCTATAATTTCCATAATGATCTCAAAGGTCAGGCATTTCCCATGTCTTTGACAGTATCAAAAAAAGCCTGGACATTTCTTCTTACAGCTTGACCTGATGTGCCACAGTGGATGTTTGACATTAGCAAACATGGCCACATAACAGGCACAGCAGAGTGAAGAAAAGTCATCCCATCCTGCCCAGAATTCAGGGAGGCTGCAGCACAGAGCCTGTGTGTCAGTGAAGGACATTACAAAAGGGAGAAAGAAAACACAATGAAACACAAGAAACACAAGAAAAAAAATCCTCAATATTAGACAAAAAAATCGAAGGCTTTACTGGATCACCAAGGAGAGATCTGTTTTTACAAGCATACTTGACATATATTCTCCATAATCTTATAGAGACACTGGATAAATATTTATTTTAAACCCTGTGTGGCTTTGGAATTGTAATATTTGAAATGGTTCAGTCCTGTTACAATGAGGAAAACTAGTCATAGGCATAGGATGCACTGAAAGAGGATTCCATGGCAAAAGTTACTTTGCAAGTTGTCATTAAGTGCCATCCCTCTCCTTTTAACATAAGACAATGTCCATTATAACCAAAATATTAATTGAGTGGTCCATCCATTCAATAATTTTCTTGCAAATCTCCTTTACTAATCAATACCAAGAACCAAATTAATTAAAACACTGAGTAGTTCTGGGGTTTCACATATGAGTAGCATTTAAATATCCCAATGATCCATCATTCAGTGCTTGTTATTAACTGAAAATGGCTCTAATTACCTAGAAAAGTCCAATGATATTTGTAGGGCTCTGGGAGGCAGTGCTGGCTCTTCAAGAACATACAACAAGAGATACAACACTGAGGTGTCTAATGGCCTGTAATGTGCTTACACATCTTCATCAAACCTTGGGTTTCATTAATGGGGTGATACTGAGTAATCCAGGCCACTCATCTCTCTCTAATCCTGAAAAACTTTGATGGTATTTCTTGGGGCTGTAGGCATTCCTGTTTGCCAGTCAGGAGTCTCAGCAGACTTGCCCAAATAATTCAGAACACCTGGAAAGTGCTTGCTTTTCTAATATCCCTTGGGCATGAATCAACTGGCAGCCAAAATACTAGTAATTTTAAAATTAGTTTTTGTAATTTTTAATAATTTAAGGATTATTATGGACTCTTTCAAACTATCTCTCATATATTAAGCACAAATGTTTAAAAAAATTTTGCATATACTTTCCAGGGATTCCTTCTGCAGGTGTTCTTGCTGAAGAAGGTTAATTTGGTAAACTAAAAATAACAACAATTAAATTTCTTTCCACAGTATGGCACAAAAAGAAAACAGTGCAAATGTACTGTAACCAAACCAAATAAGAGCAATAGGATATGGAACTGGCATTGTGTTGGAGACTGCTACCTGACTGCATCTATAAATATATAAATGAAATATAAATGATCGGAGTAAAAAAAAGAATTATGTTATTTGCTATTGATTTTCAAGTCAATGATGATAGTGATAACTATGGTTTTAAATGCTTTTCATTATTTGAATGAAGTTTAAATAACTATTTTATGGTCATTCTTCTACTAATTCACTAACTAATTTGAACAAATTTCATTTCAATATGAACCTTGTCATTTGATATATGCCATAAAAAGGAAGAAGAGAAAGAGTTGAGGAAATATAAATGTCTCATTTTGAAGAATTATAACTAGCTCTTCCAGCAGAACGTGTCATGATTAAGTAGTAATGATCGCTTTGAACCATTTCTCTGTGTGCTCCTCTGCCAGCAGAGATTTAAGCCACTTTCATGTCATGCAATGGTAAATTATTCTGGCAATTCTATTAGTGCTTTATTTTCCACATAACTCTACTATATTCTAGGAAAAATAGTTCTTCTTATTCTGAATTACAAATCTAAATACTCTTATATGGTTTACTTGACAGAATATGATAGTCTATTATGTAAAAAACTACTGAGAATTTTTAATCAGTTAATCATTGACCCAACTGACTTAAATGCCTCAGACAGAGCTGTTAGTGTCTACAAGGTCAGTGCAGATGCTCTGCATGTGCTATTAATTCATAAACTACACCTTCTCTTTGAATCTGCTTAAAACCTCTTATAAAATCTGACTGAAATTCCTTTCCTGGGGAATTCCAAGTTGATATTTTACCTTTCATCCATTACACTGTGCAAAAAAAAGGAAATCTAAATACTCCCATAAGAGATTTAAATAGAGTGATATGACAGGAGATAGCTGAGGGACTGAGTAACTACTCAGGAAATTTTCACCTGGTTTAAACTCATTCTGTGTTAAAAACAATTGAAATCAGTTGAGGTGTAGAAGGTATTAAAAGAAAGGATTGTGAGCTGTGAGAGTACAGAAAGCACACTCCTCTCAACACATATATGCATGATAGGAAGGCTTCACTGAAACCTCCCACACCACAATTCATGGCAATTGCCCCTTTTTATGTAATCTATTGAGAAAAAAATTACCTGCATCACCTTGGCAATTCCTCTTCAAGTGTCTGTAGGCTGCCATTGGCATCTTTGCCACATTGAACAAGTGCATAGCCCTCAGTCTCAGGGGTGTTGCTTTATGTCCCTAATGATCTGGACAACCCCTTTATGGATCCACTGCAGTTTGTCTACTTCCCTGTTGATCTGGAGGGCCTGAAACTAGAGGCAGTGTTTGAGGGGCAGCCTCACCAGAAAGGAGCAGACATATATAATGTAGCCCAGCTGTGACTTCCTTATTTGTGCTAAGGGGGACTGGCAGCTCAGGTTCAGTCTTGCATCCCCTGTAACTCCAATTCCTTTCCAGCAGGGCTGTCTGTCTCTTAGCCAATGGGATCCTGATCTGCACCAAGGCACAGGGGTTTTCCATGCCTGTAAGTAACTTTGTGCTTCACTTTGTTTGTCTTTACCAGGTCTAAGTTTTTCCAGATCCTTCTGCACTGAAGCAGAAAGGTTTTGTCATGCCCCACCCCAACTAAGTATCTGCAGTTTGGCCAACTGTGTATTTGCCTGCATAATCCAGATCACTGATGAAGACATTTGACATAACCAGGACCCTCCAAACCTCCTAAAATGAACTACTGTTCATTTGTTGTCTGTATTCAGTAAGAATTAGTATCAACATCTTCTCTTGTGTTTAATTTTTTATACCACCCAATACGCATACACAAATTTTCCTATTCATCATAGGCTGTAGTCACATATACACAGACAGAATTTCTAGGTCCCAAATTTGCCCAATTATTGGCTATACCACCCAGATCCATCAACAATGGGGCAATTCTAGGCATGTCATGAGGGGAGCCTGGTGAATAATAATGTGGGGAAAAAATATGTAGATGCCTCCTGGGTTAGGCAGCAGGCAAGCAGGCATTTTTAGCGTTGTAATTTTGGAGACAGGTACCTCAGATCCACCTGCTTCCTGAAGCTTGCCAGACCACTGCAGTTATTTTGCACAATTCTGTCACTTCAGCAAGCCAGCATGCAAATCCTCCCTGTTGCACCTTATGTGGACACACCTGCCCAGTTCAATGTCAAGCGCAAAACCGAACAATGGGGGTTTCCTGCAGTCAAAAATAAAAAAGGACTTAATCTTGAATTGTCTTCCAAGATCTCTCTTGTGGCTAAATTCTCAAATTCTGGCAAAGCTTTGTTCCTTAAGAAAATGATTTTATGAAAATCATTTTTTGATTTTATGAAAATCATTTTTATACAGCAGGAAAACAGAAAGGATCTACATCTACTTAATCCATTTTAGTTATCAGTAAATATTCATTAATATTGAAATATCTATTTTTCATTCTTTTTCCAGTCTTACATCTTTTGCCAAAGACATGTATGTTATATGCTGAGAAATATCAAGTTTCCTTTCAGTCAAAGTTGTAGTAGCCAAGCTATAAACCTCAGACCTAAGGGTTTATGGAGCAAACAGATCTTTCCCACAAACATAACTGCTAAAATAAAACAAATCTTATTTAATATAAAATTGTATCACATGCATTAAATGCATATTAAAGGAGCATTTTAAGGTGTGTTTTTTCTCTGTAAGTAGCAGATGCTAGGAATAATAATCCACAAAGTCCTCTGCATTCTGAAGAAGTGTATTACACAAAACTTTCATTTAAATCTTTCGTAAAGCTCAAGCACAGTGAACAGTGACAACAGTAAAACACTACTGGTAGCAAACCATTAGAATAAACTGAAATAAAATTTGATATTTTAAAAATCATTTAAAAGGATAATACTTCTCCCTTTAGATATCTTTACAGCACTTTATGTAAGCTAAATAAATGTAGCTACCTACTGAATTACTGCCATTTCTGTTCCACAAACTGTGTATGTAAATTCCTCTGAAAAAAAAAAAAAAAAGGCAACATCTGTCCTTTAATGTGCAGGAGAATTTAATAGGTTCACCTTAAGAAAAAGTGACTCAGTAACAATGACCTTATCCTTTTTATTGTTAGATATCTTAGGGGAAGAAAATGAAACAACACAAATAAAATATAGTTTAGTGGAAAACTAAACATCTTTAAAAATATTGTCCCAGTAGATCTTAGTTTACAGTGGATCAGCAGTGCTTAAGGATGAAGACAAGAACAAGCTATAAACTGCTTCAATAAAAGTCAATTAACCCCTCATGCTTGCTGCTGTAGCCCTTCTGCCAACTGTGTTCTGTGCACCAGAACTGTGTAACTCCAAGTATGAAGCAGTTAAATGAATACTGCCAGAATAACTACCCACTGACACAAAAACAATCAGTAATGCATATGCAAAACCAAATCTTGTGCTGGTTTGTGACTTTAAAAAAAAAAAGATGTATAATATAACAGAACCTTTTTCCAGTCAACTGACGCTAGTATCCCCAGGCTGGGAGACCTCTGGAAAGATATAAATCAAATCTTTTTTAGGTTAGGGTGTTGTATATGAATGATGGACACTTCTTCCTGTAAAGCAACAAAACTCATTAAAGAAAACCAAACTTACAGAGTCAGAGATGACTAGAAAATATTTTCCTTGTTAGAATTTTAATGTGAAGATATCACTTCTCTTCATCAAAGTTATCGAACTGGAATACACTGCAAGAAAGCTAATGCTTTCAGTAAGTGTTTTTGAAATGCTAACTTTTGTTTAAGGAGCAGCCAAGTAGCATAAAACGCTTTGCTACACAGCAATTAATTTTAGGTGTGCATCACTTTCCACAGTAATTCTACACCTTACATTTGCAAAATGTGTTTTCAGAAAGCCATGCCTCTGCCAAACCTGATTCTGATATAGATTTTACTTCATGAAACTCCCACAAAAAAACCAGCTGTGATGGCATTATATTCCTTCAGTCACAAATAAATTATCCCCTCTTCTAGACATAACACAGTGGTGATTTAATTTTGTACAGCAGTACTGTACAATAGAAAGTGGAAATAAATTAATCTAGAGGATGAATTGGTTCAGAGAGAATGGCATTACGTAGACATCT